ACAACTGACTCAACAGCACTTAATGACGACAATAATTATCAAACAGACAAGAAAATATTCACCTTCACTAGTAAATTTTGAAATACTGTATCTATGAAATTGGCACAAAAAAATTAAAAATAAAAGTCAATGCTTATAATTGTTATTTAGTGCTGCTGAGTTGGTTCCAACTCACAGCAACCCCATAAAGGGTTTCCGAGAAGTGGCTGTTGAGTTAGAACCACCAACCTTGCAGTGAGCAGTCCAATGCTTATCCTACAGTGCCACACCAAGACCCCTTATAATAGAACACAGTAAAAATGGGCACCTATTCTCTGCTGCTCTGATGGACGCACAGTCCTTTAGGTGACAATCTGGGGGAGAAATGCATCAACAGACTTAAAAAAATTCATATCCTTTGATTCAAAAGCACTATTGCTATAAAAATCGCCTAAAAACAATCCTTGGGTGGGGGTGGGGGTGGGGTGGGGGAAGCAGTTGTCTACACACAAAAATGTTTATAGCAATGATTTGTAAATAATTTATTTGGAAATAAATATTAAAATGAGAGGCTATAAATGAACAATGGTTGCTTGCTGTAGCATATTCTTATCCTGAAACCAGTCTTCACAGGTCCCATCCCAGGTCATCCTCCTTATTACTGTCTTAATTTCTAAACAGATTACATTTCTCAACAGCAAATAGAACAAAACTTAAAATTTTTCAGTGGTTCCCACTACCTGGGGAAAAAAATTCAAATTTATTGGCAAAATACAACAGCACCTAGATGGGTTGGTCCTCGTCTATATGTCTACCTTCATCTTCAGAGCCTCATTTATAGGAGCACATTGTCAGGTGTTTCCTCCTATAGAATCACTGGAAGGTTCCAACCTCTTTTGAGTTCGTTTTGGAGTGCTTCACCATTGCAACACAAGGGCTCTGAAAGACTGGCATCAAGAAAACGCTATGGAGCAGTTCTCTTCTATAACACATGGAATCTCCTTCATAAATAAGAATCAACTCCAGGACAACGAGTTAGGTTTGGGCTTATATGGTAATAGATTGCTTAACCCTTGAAATATACAGTTGTAATCTTACGTGTTTTATGTGTTAAGTGTTAGCCACTATTACCACTTTTCATTTTCCCCATAACTCTTGTGAAGTAAGGGTTAATGAGATTTGGAGAGGTTAAGTAAATGTCTGTGTGGAAAGCCTTTAGCAAGTCTTTCAGAATCACTGTAGAAAATAAGATGACATAAATAAATTAAATTCATTAGGAATTACTCCTTTCTCTTGAAATCCCTACTCATCCTTTAAAACTCAACTCAGGGGTTATTCCTGTCCCCAGAACTTTCCCTGACCTGAGCTGACCTCTCTGTAACTGTACAAAACTCTTGCTAATTCACTGAAGGACATTTATTTTTCTCTCAAAGGCTGTATGCAACATTAGGGCAGGGGTCCTTGTTTTAGACATGGATTCAGAGATTCTTTGGCATTGTGCTGAATGGATGCTAGAGAGCTGTAAGTAGGTGTTTATATTGTCTTTATGGGTACACTGAGTTTGAGTGGCAAGAGATGAGGTTATAAATAACATGAAGAGAAGCACAGAAAAACACAGAAATTTCAAAAAGGTATGCAATAAATGTTCTGGAGAAGTAATGTGTTCTTTCTCCGTATCTGAGAATTTAAAATATTTTAAAAATTCACTAAACTGCTTTTTCTAACCTTTAGATTTTCATTAATAATCAACAACAAAGAATATTTCCCACAGAAACCCAGACAGGTCTTTTTTAACAGATTTTAGGTTGCAAATTTTACATTTAATTATTAGTTTTCTCTAGAAACACTCACTGAAGTTGATAGCTCTACCATACAGCCCATTTTAATGATCAGTGTTGATGTGTCACAAGGAACAGCTGAAATAGCTTGAAGGAATAAATCAGATTTTAATCACGAATGGCCTGAGAAACCTCAAATTTGGGGTCAAATTATTCCTGTCTTCAACAAATACCAAATAGTTCACGAGGTGATTGTGGTCTTAAGAATAATATGTGGAAAAATCTAATATCCATTATGGGCAGAGATCCATGGCTAAAATATTTCATCTTTCAGTCTTTCAGTCTCACCATGAAAGAATTGTTTACACCTTTCCGTAAAAGGGCAACTCTACATTAAAGATATCCATAATTGAGTAACTACAGTTCATAAAACATCTTGGAATCAAAGGCACTCTATAAATGTAAAATACAGTATAGTACTAACTTAAATAAAGCAAAGACGAATAATTTTAAAGCCTCTTATAACCCAAGTGTATTGTAAATCAAATTAAAATGTACTGTGGAACCTGATTTTTTAAAGTGCTTTTTCTACACTTATGGAACCCATACCTCAATGAACTGTTAAACACTTAGTCTAAAGGTATGCCAAACATTTCTTAAGATCTTAACAAAGAATCAGGATTTTTTTTTTCCTTCCTTAACAAAATGAGGCCTAGGTTAAATATTTTATTTGGCTTCTCAAGATGGACTGAGAAGTTGGGCAGCAGCTCCAGACCAGTTCCTGGACACACATCAAACACAGCCCTGTCACTCATCCAGTCTGTCAGAACAATCTTTTCCATCGAAACCCTTTCATGTTTATGTCCTAAAAAGCTGCTAATTGAATCCAGGTCTTGGGATCTATTTGTTAAAATCTATACTATCTAATTTGTAAATGATAAGCAAATATGCAAAAATGTATTTTAATTTTCCTGATAAAAGAGAAGAGAACTGACCATATATGGAGCAATGGGAGAAAAGAATGTTTCTATGAACAGTTTTCTGAAAAAATTATCAAAACTTAAAAAACACACCACTATTCATAGAAACATTCTCAATGGTTCTCAGAAGTGAGAGTACCACAAACTGGTACTCATAGACACCAGGTATTTAAAATTCCTCAGAAATCTTAAAATACAAAATCTCTATAAATGTAATCTCATATTCCTGCTCCCCCTTCAAAAAAATAAATGTATATCTTTCCTCCAAATAAATTTTACTCACAAGTCTTTGTGATATTTATCTTATGCAGTAAGGAAACCACAGAGAGATATACTTTATAACATCTATTGATGTTATAACATGTCATAACTTTATAACATCTATTGAGTTGCTAAAAACCTCAAATTCATTTTATCTGCAGAAAATCAAAACCTACTTTCTCCCTCATTTTCCCTGTATGGGTATAATCTAAAGGGAAGTCCAAGGCCATTAGCCTATTTCTGAAGCCTTCTTTCTGCACACCTGGAGTCACCGGTTCCTTCCACAATCACTTTCACTGGATTGATTACAGAAGAGGAATCCTTGTTATTGTTAAGTGCCACAGAGTCAGGTCCGACAAGGTGACTCAGTATAGGGTTTCTGAGAAGCGGCTGATGAGTTTGAACCGCAGACCTTGCAGTCCAGCATATTAATTAGCCCGCAGCGCCACACCAGGACTCCCCAGACGAGGAGCAGCCGTAGATAAATGAAATCAACAAAGATCCCTTATAGAGATTTCCACTGACTCCTAAAAAAATAAGGAAACTGAACAGGAGATGATGGGGGGGGGGAGACGGGGAGACAGGGTGATTGTCATCCCCCAATCTAGGTTTTCCATTAAAAAGCGCTCCGTTAATGATTCAATTTTCCCCTAGAGAAAGTAAAAGTGCCTAAAAGTAAATATATATATATATATTTTTTTTTTTTAATCATAGCCACTATACATTCTCAAGTGCCAAAGTTATGCCAAGTTTTTATCTCAAAAGTTTAGCCAGTGGACTGTGATGGGACAGACAAGCATTCAACTACAAAATTAGTCCATCTAAATCTAAAAGTGTAGCGTAAGCAAACACATTTGCAGTTTATTACACACACACACACACATCCTGTAAGAAAAATCATTTTTCTCACCATACATCGGAATATAAACGTGAGTAACTGATTAATGGTGAGCCTAGGATAACTGATTTCAAAGTTTTCAAAACAAAACTATTTTCTCCTCAAAATAGGTTAACGTATTCATGTAAGGACGCCCAAAGATGGTATTGGAAGTCATAGGTCGTTGCAATGTTAAAAGTGTTAAAGGACTAGGAATCCTTTAAATAATTTCATTTATGAGCGTATTCTATCCAGCAAACCCTCCGGACGTTCATTCCATTGGCAAGCTGTAGAAAAGGGAAGGAGGGCAGGGGCTGGGAAAGTTCTCTTGAAAGTTTGCAGGAGCACAGACTCAGAATTTTACACCACCACCCCCGGAAAAAAAGAAAAGAAAAAGTGTTTGAAAGCCGGTCTAGGGTTAGACGTGACACACAAGTTCTGCGGCCTACAAGGAACCACCCCAAACAAGCTACCCTACAATCAAACGCTTCCAAAACACAGAATGTACAATAAACCCGAGTCGGCGGATCAGGCCGACAGCCGGAAAAGTCAACCTCAGTCAAGGCGCCTTCCCTCCCAAAGGCGTTCGTGGAAGGTGTGTGGCAGCGGCTGCTCCGGCTGGCAGCCGGGAGGAGAGGGGTTTGCACGCGAACATATGTGGATGTGCAAGTTCACCACCACGGAAAGCACACACACACACGGGCTCCCGTTAGCGCTCCATCTTTAAGGGGTGTTTACTGCGCGCAGTCAGGAACCGGATCCAATAATCCCCGCCACCCGGGCTCCTCACCCCTCCAACGACCCCACCTGGGCAGGGGCCCAGGGAGCGCGCCGGGCTCGTCGGCCAACACTTTTCAACCTCAAATTCGCATGGAATTCCAACCGGCTCACCCCTCCCCTCAACAAAAGACACCCCCCGCCCCACCCCCGCAAGTCACTCTAGGCTTTTTGAGGAATTTGCCAAGCATGGCGAGCAGTTTGCCAACGACTCTCCCTAAACTAGGCCTTCCCACGGTTCCGATCCCCATCTCTCCATTGATAGCGACCCTGCCCTTCCCAAGGCCACAGGCACCCCCCGCCGGCTCGCCCAGCCCGGCTCCAGCCGCCCGCACCCCCATCCCTCACCTGTCAGGCGCAGCTTGACGGGCCCGTTCCTCCGGCCTCCGGGGTTAGACATGTCCCCGGCGGCGGG